TCCCAAAATTAAAGACATGGACATTGAAACCCACACTCAAATCTCCTAAAATTGAAGAGACAGAGATTGAAGACGATGACAATGTAGAAGACCCACCTCCTAAAAAACGAAAAAACAACTCTCCTCTTTAACACAAAAGCAAGAGCCACCAATCCCACAACGACGGCAGAAATCAAAAAAAGATTTAACAAGAATTGCCTATCAAAGGGAAAAAAAAAGAGAGATTTAATAGAATCGCAAGTTCCAGGAAAAAAAAACAAGAATAAGAAGAAAAAAATGAAAAGATTGGTTATGTGTACGCGTTTAATTGCAAGGAAGCAGGAGTTTTGGGTCTAGAGATATTGATGGGAGTAAAGTGCTGAAGGTGGGGAGATGGAGGGCATGAAGAAAGAAAGGTTTTTATTTATTTATTTATCCTAATTAGCTAATTAAAACTAATTAAGCTTGAATAATCATTTTTTAAAAAATTATTTTTGGTTTTCCACGTGGCAATTAAAAAATGCCAGGTTGTACGTTTATCCGGACACATCAGCAAAATTGTGTCTTAGGTGATTTCAAAGTATGAAAAAAAAATTGAGAAATCAATCATGAAAAATCAACTATTTGACACCAACATAAAAAAAAATAATAAAAAAAAATAAACACCGAAAAAGCCTTCTTCTCATTTTGAAATATGATTTAATATGATTCACTCTAGCCAATACTATATAGTATCAAAGGTGTTGTTCAATAATAAAAATATAGAATTACGAAAAGAAGAATACAAGTTTTATTTTTACCTTATAAAAATAAAATGAGAATAAGAATTAAAACTAAATATAATTTCATTGATACAGGAGCATGTAGAAATAAAGATAAGAAAAGTGAATAACTTTTTTTTCCCTTCAAAATAGTGATAATAGATTATTTTTATTTATTATATATTAATTATTTTTTATCATTATCATTATTTTTACTACTAATACCACTCCTATTATCCATGGTTATAAAAAAAAATTAAAAAAATTATTTATTATTATTCTGTTATTATTTTTCTATCACTGCTATTATTTTTATTATATTATTACATTACTCTTTTTTCATTGCCACCTTCTACGATGGTGACATCAATTTTTCGAAAACATATTATAGCTATTGTTGTACTACTATTACTACCATCACATCTTCCTCCTCCTCTTTCTCTTCCTTCATCATTCTAATCACTTCTATTACTTCTAATATTATTATAATTGATAAAATTATTTTTTTAATTATTACTATTATTTTTCTTAAAAACCAAATTTTAAATTTTATTCCAAATCCTTTTTATTATTCCAAACGGGTTAATGACAAAAATTACCCATAAACTATTATGTTATGACAATTTAAGACCCATATCATCTATTTGAGCCATTTGTATCCTAAACTAATATTTTCAAAAGAAATATTATGGTTCTTCTCGTTATCTCTAAAAGTTAAAACGTTGACCATTAATTTAAAAATAATTTTATGGTAAAATTTATCCTCAAACTATTAGAGTCGGGACAAATTAGCTTCTATACTATCAATTTGAGCTATTTGAACCTCAAACTATTAATTTCTTGACAAATTTTATCCTTTTTTATTATTTATAACCATCAAAGTATCGACCTTTAATTGAAATATTTAAAACAAAATCATTTTAAGCATGTTAGGTTTTTTTTTTAGAATTAAAATTAATTTAAAAAAAATACTAATTCAATTTTTAGAAATAAATAATTAATTTCATCCCTCAATTTTAATTTATTTTTTTATTTTTTTATTATTTTTTTGCTTTCTCTCAAATCCAAACCAAGAAAGAAAATTTTTTATGTATAGTAAAGAACAATTTGTTTTTTCAAAAATTTATTGTGAAAATTTATTTCAAATCCAAACCCAACGAAAATTTTTTATGAATTTTTTTCCATAACATAGGAATAGAAGAAAAAGGTAGACAAAAAAGGGGGGTATTTTGGGAAATTTTTTCTTCAAAAAGAAATTACCATGTGTCAATAATCTGTATGTCTATTGCTGAAAATTAATGCCGTTACTTGAAAATTTAAACGGATGGATGAAATTAAGACATCAATTAAAGTAGAGGAATGCAATTAATGAAAATTTAGTAAAAAGACACAATTAACACAACACAAAATAGTAAAGAAACATCATGAACCATTAACTCGAAATTGATAGTATATGCCTTATTTTGCCACAACCCCGATAGTTTAGAAGTAAAATTTGTCATTAAACCATATTTTAGTTAACGGTCAACGTTTTGATTACTAGAGATAATGGAAGAAAAATAATAGTTTGAAGTTCAAATAACCCAAATTAATAGTATAAACTTTAATTGTCATAACGCAATAATTTAGATGTAATTTTTGCCATTAAACCTATTTTAAACATAGTATTTAAATGTAAGTATGATTTTAATTCTCTAATTTTCATTTCAATTCCTATATTTTCATTTTAAATCTTTAATTTTTGTTAACCAAACAACACCTATATATATATTTTTTTCTTTTTCTTTTTTTCTTTTTTTCCTGTACATTTTGCTTCAACTTTGGGCCGTTACTACATTCTATAGGAAGAGAGCTATGGCAAGCTCATTTACGGGACAATACTGTACGAGCCCCATTCATAATAAGCTAAATTTTATTTTTGTCCTATTGATCTATCAATGTTTCACTTCTACTTCAAAAGTTTAAAATTTCCTAATATCATCCTTTTAGTTTTCAAGAAATTTCAACATTACTTCTAACCATTAAATAACATACTTTTTTTTTTTAAATTTGGTTTTTTAATCTTTTTATGTTTTCAAGTGTTTTCACAATATTTTATAACGTATATGGAATTTGAGAAGAAAAACATGAAAAATGCTACCTTAATTTATTTAGTAAAAAAGAGTGAAATTGAAATTTTTTAAAACTCGTATCGGAAATTTTTAGATTATGGGGTTAAAGTTGGAACATTAATGAATCTATAAGGGTGCTCTAGATTCTAGAAAAGTTCTCACGAAATATCGTCTCATTTTGGCTGATGGGTTCACTGTAGGTTATCTTGGAAAATTAATTTTTTAATCTCTCTACTTTAACAGATATAAAAGAGCTTATAAGTTTCTAAACTCAAACGAAGAAGAGTCTACTCGAATTGAAAAATATCGATGTATCCGAGATAAACTATTACATGAGACAGTTTTAAATAACACATAACATAAAATAGATCTCATTTCAATTATTTTTAGAAAAAATCTTTTTTTTTTTTTTGGAAAAATTGCAATTTGAGTAAAGAAAAAAGTGGATTCTACTTTAGACACTTGAATTGAAAGATTTATGGATTGAACAAAAAAAAAAAAATCAATTAAAATGTAGTTTTATAAAGAAATATTATTTGGAACTTAATTTGCACTTTCACCCGCCCATTATATTCCAGTGGTAGAGAAAGTGAAAGCATCGAACCACTAGCAACACGGCTTAATTATGTCCACACTATAAAGAAAGCATGGTTCATGTACATCAATGGATCAATCACTTTTTTAGACCTCTCAAAGTACCCATGACAAACAATAATGTGGACCCTCAATTCTTATTTCCATTACTTTCTTCCTTATCTTTGCATAATTGCATGTAACATTTTGCATTACATTTTTATTCCTGTCCAACCAACTTGGCTTCCAGAACCTTTTGTAACAATTAAGGAATGAGAACCTCTAATTTATCTGATCGAACCTTGACCCATGCAATAATCCCAGATTAGCCAAGGTTGAGGACTTGAGCTCACATTAATTTATATATATACACACACGGGGATGACGAATGAGTTAGTTTTTTTTATAAAAAGGAAAAAATAAAAATATTATAAACTGAATCAGGACATAAGACACCAGCAGCTGAAAGAATAATGGAATTTATAGATGAATAAGTACGATTTTGCAATGTACATAATCTTCAAATATATTACTCTAATTAGAAAGTTTTAAAGTTCAATCCTTGAACCTTTACTTACAAGTTTGAACTTTTAAAGAGTGATTTTTGCAAGGACAAATTTTCTTTTTTCAATTGTGTTCTTAAAAAGGATTAAAAACGATCCTCAATCAGGTCCCTTCCGTTAACAATCATCCCTGAAAATTTAAATTAATTTCCTGATATATAGTCCGCCAAATTAATTAATATATCCTTCATATATATTAAGGATTATTTCGTTAATTTTCATTAATAGATTTCGACGAAACCTAATTAATACTACTAATAATAAAAATCTTTGGAAAAAAGTATATATATTAAGAATTGATGAATAATTGAGGAACTTTATTTTGTGACTTGCCCATTTAAACTTTTACATGATAGAGCACTGGTTCTGTTTACCTCCTTCCTCAAAAGCACGCCCGGAGAAGAAAACGATAGTTTTTGTTTTTTTATGAAGAAAGAGAACAATAGTTGCTACTGTATAATTGCTATGAACGATCATCAAAGCAAATGGCAAGGAGGAAGGAATTATGCTCACAAGACACTAACAGTACTGAATATACAATTTTTATCATATCAACAAAGAATAGAAAAAAACAGTGAAAAGAAAAAATTCCATATCATATTGACTTCTCTCTTTTTCGTTAATAGTTCCTCCAAATTGTCAGAGCCCCTCATTTTTAATTGCAAAACATATGAAATTATTAAAAAAAAAGAAATTGCAAACCAAATAATAATGGCAGACAACCATGTTTTAGCTTTTCTTAATTTAGTAATTGTTAGACCCCACTAAGTAACCCCATAGAATAAACCTCGTTAATCCTAATAGTATTAGAGATGATATATAGCTAGGTATCATCAGACCCCAATCAATTCGGCATCTCAAGGTGTTTGTTTTTTGTTTTAATTCTAATAAATTTATTAAAAACAAAGCCTAATGCCAACACATTCCAATACGTATCTTCCTCTATTTTTCGTGCCATCTTAGTTTGATAGAGCTAAAGCAAACAACAACAACCTCTTCTAGTTCTCACAATTATGACGACTCCACCACAACGCTCCTCCCTTCCGACTCGACTAAATGTCTTTATGGCAAACAGTCGAGTCGGGAAGCGTTTCAAGCTCACCGAGAGGAAGACCACCTTTACGACCGAGGTTCTAGCTGGGACAGCCACGTTCCTTACCATGGCCTACATCCTAGCCGTCAACGCCAGCATCCTTGCTGACTCAGGTGGCACATGCAGTGTCTCAGATTGCATCCCCCTCTGTTCCAACCCTACGATCCCTCTTGCAAACTGCAGTTCCCCGAGTTACCGAATCATCAAACCCGACGAATCCTGTAAATTCACTCCTGTTAACCCTGGCTATGCAGACTGCCTACAAAAGATACGTAAAGATCTTATTGTAGCCACTGTAGCTTCTTCTTTAATAGGATGTCTCATTATGGGTGTATTAGCTAATCTTCCTCTAGCTTTGGCACCTGGTATGGGCACCAATGCTTATTTTGCTTATACAGTCGTGGGGTTTCATGGGTCAGGCAACGTACCATACAAAAGTGCCTTAACGGCTATTTTCATTGAAGGCCTGGTTTTTCTCTTTATTTCTTCTTTTGGGCTACGAGCTAAGCTAGCTAAACTTGTGCCAAAACCCGTCCGGATCAGTAGCTCAGCAGGAATTGGCTTGTTCCTTGCTTTTATTGGGCTACAAAATAATCAAGGTATTGGTCTTGTTGGGTATAGTTCATCAACATTGATCACAATTGCAGCCTGTCCAAGATCTTCCCGTGCAATGTTAGCCCCCGTTGTAACGGCGGCTAACGGCACCGTTAGTTTGATCCAAAATGGTACCGTGTCGAGCGACATCATGTGTCTCAATGGGAGGATGGAGAGCCCAACATTTTGGCTTGGCATTCTTGGTTTTGTCATAATTGCATATTGCTTAGTCAAAAATGTTAAAGGTGCTATGATTTATGGTATAGTTATCGTGACAGTGATTTCGTGGTTCCGTAACACGGCAGTAACGGCGTTTCCTTACACGGAGGCAGGGAATTCTTCTTATGAATATTTTAAGAAGGTGGTTGATGTGCATGTGATAGAGAAAACAGCTGGGGCCTTGAGTTTTAACGGCATGAATAAAGGGAGTTTCTGGGAAGCATTGATCACATTTTTATACGTTGACATACTTGATACCACCGGGACATTATATTCAATGGCCAACTTTGCCGGGCTCACTGACGTTAATGGAGATTTTGAAGGTCAATACTTTGCATTCATGTCGGATGCTACATCAATTGTCGTGGGATCACTTCTCGGCACCTCTCCGGTGACCACATTTGTGGAATCATCAACCGGGATCAGAGAAGGTGGACGGACAGGCCTAACAGCATTGACCGTGGCAGCATATTTCTTTATGGCATTTTTCTTCACGCCGTTATTGGCGTCGATTCCAGCGTGGGCGGTAGGGCCACCGTTGATTTTGGTTGGAGTTTTGATGATGAGAGCTGTGGTGGAGATTCAATGGGATGATATGAGGCAAGCCATCCCTGCCTTTGTTACAATTATACTCATGCCATTGGCATATTCTATCGCATATGGTCTCATAGGAGGTATTGGTACTTATATTATCTTACATCTTTGGGACTGGGGTGAGGCCTTCTTGGTAAAAAAAGGGCTTCTCAAAGGAATGAAAGAAGATCATTTGCTGAATGAAGAAACAAATGGAAATGGTCGTGATAGTAAAGTACTTGAACTAATTAATTAGAAGAAAGAAAAAATATATATACTAGTATTAAGTATACATTTTTTTTTTTGGTCAGCTTTCAGATTTGTAATTTACTGTCCTAGGAGAACATTGTTCAAAATTGTATGTAATAACATGAGTTTTAATTTTAATTTTAAATCTTGATTATCCTGTTATTGGCCTCTTTCTTGACCTTGAAGTCCAAGAGTTTGTTTCCATTTCATATCTTGATTACATGAGTTCCAGACTTAATTCCAGTCTCTTTCTATTTGATTATCCCTTTTCTTTTCGAATCTCCTCTGTGATTTGGCTAATGTTGTAGGATTTTATCAAAAAAGCTATGGCTTTGCTTGACTCCTATCGTGTATATAGTTGAGAAATAACAAGGACTAGGTGTTAAAATGCGGAATCAAATCCTCAATGCAAACATTAACAGGTTCAAAGACCTAAAAGTTTTGGCATCAAATTTTGAAGGGTTTCTGGAAGGGTTACTTTCAATGGAAAAGGATAGAAAGAGAGTTCTAGGATCCCATGGAGTTACCTAAAGAAGAGATAATCATAAATTAGGTTCATGGATATTTTTTGAGTTTTAATGAATTTGGGTTGTCATGCTTCCCCTTGAGCTAGGACAGCTAAATGACCCCTTCTTTAAATGCCAACTAGAATATGCCAGGTGTGTCTAATTAGAGAATTTTAGTGCTTGATGGTCGGAACTTAGCAATCAAAAAGAAAGAAGGAAATTGAAATTAAAAGAAGAAGGAAAACAGGAGGCCTATGCGCCCAATTATTGGTCATCCGTGGTAGGATTTGCATATTGAATTGAGCACACACAAAGTGGCAAGGAAACTAGGACTTTTTTTTCTTTGGTCGGAAGGACTTTAAGCTAAATCTTCTTTTGGTGCAAGTTTTCAAAGAAAGAAATAAGAAGTGGCCTTGTTGTGTGGTCCAATAATTCTTTATGTCCATGGGGTTTATGGGCCAGGAAGTTTGGTAAAGGCTCCAATCTCCATCAACAAGGTGAGTGGAGCAATCTGAAAAAGGTTGAGGACCAAACTAAAGAGGAAGAGTGTATTAAGCTCAATGCCTTTTTGACACCTTGTGACCCAAAAAGAGGAGACAAAGGGAAAAGAAATGAGCATATAAAACTATAGTTAATGCCAACGGTTTAAGCTGCCCTCGTCTCTCTTTTCTTTCTTTTCTTTTTTGTTTTTTATTCGAGGCACCCACCATAAGTAAGCAATTTGGGTTCCATGAAGATCCTCAGAACCCTATGAATTGATGAATCGTGGACAGAAATGTGTGAACATATATGTAAGGTATGTTTGTTTTGAGGAAAATAAGTTTCAATGTTTTTCTAATTGTTTTTTTAATGTTTGTTTTGTATTTAGAAAAAAAAAGTTAATAGAAAATGATTTGTAGTAAACAAAAAATAATATAGTATTTTTAAAAACAATGTTTTTTGAATTAAAAAAGAGAAAAATATTTTTCATCTCTTTCACGAGCTATTTCAATCTCGCTTTACTCACCCATCTCTCGATATATTTTAATATTTTTTTCTTTATCTTTTTATATTTAAAATATATCAAATTAATTTTTAATTATTTCGTATTAATTATTATTAATTTTTTTATTTATTTTTTATTTCTAATCACATTTGATTTTTCGATTGATAAATACATTAAATATTCTTAAAAATCATTTTTACACCTTAAAATTATTTTTATAATAAATATTTCAATAATTTATCTTTATTTTTTTATCATTATCTCAAACACCACCTAAATGATTGAAAATGATTATTACAAAACCGCAATCATTTGTAAAAAAATTTTAAACTAATTAATTCATTAAGAAATATATTATTTTTTCAATACTATTCATTTGCAACAAAATCAATAATTTGTGACTAATTTTAATCAGTTGTAAAATCTTATTAGTAATTGTAGTCAATAATTAGTTGCAAATTATTCCGAGTGTTAATCTTTTGAAACAAAATCAATAATTATCTACAAATGATAAGTAATAATTTATAAACTCATTTTTTAGACTAAATTATCAGTTCAATTTTCAAAAAAACAAAAAACAAATCTTAATTGAGTTACCAAAATAACAATGCTGGGATTATTTAGAAATTTTTTTTGCTAAAACTCGAATATTAACATGATTTTGTCCCAAGTAATTTTGATGAATTGATTTGATAGTTAAAAATATATATTTTATTTTTTGAATTTAAATCTTAAAGTCAGTATTTATAAAAATTTATTAATTTTTTTTAAATGTATCTTATATTATAAAATTTAAATATGTTTTATTAAAATTTTCTCAAAACTCGTTAATATAACAATCACAATCTATTTTTATATTTCAGTTTTCTATATCAAACAAATGTTAAAATATATTTTTAAAAAAATTTTCATGTAATTTTCAAATGTCAAAAAATATTTTTAAAAAATATTTTCTTAAAAAATAATTTCTTCATAATTGATTTTCTTATTAAAAATTGTTTTTTACCTTACAAATGCAGCCTAAATATGAAATTTTCAAACACGCCTACTTCACCACTTGGGCTAGTCCCACAGGAATTTGTTATCTCAAATCTTACAGAGAAACTAGCCCATGGACTAAGATCATGGGCAAGCTCTCCTAAGACAAGAGTAAGAAAAATGTCAGATTTAATCCATTGGTGCAAATGCAATGCCTAATTTCATGTGAGAAAGCATGAGGTAATGTAGGAACCCGAACCTGCCTTATGAGGCCCAATGATATGAGCCCAACCCTCCATCTCGTCCAGAGGTCTATTGGGCTGCATAATTACGTATTGCGTAAATGTGATTCGTGTACGTTTAAAGTAGACTGGATTGCATAATTAGTTACTACTGGAACAAATTCAACATTCATTAATCGCTTCATTGATTTTCTTTTTGTTAGGATTAATCGCTTCATTTTTGTGAATATAGATAAGTTCTTGGAAATGGAAATTATATCAAATTTTGTATTTAGGAACGTACCTAAAAATGAATAAAAGTTTCCGAAACAGGAAAGAGCATGACAACCATATGAATATCATAATCTAAACCCTTTATATGAAACTCTTTCATATCAATGAATTATATATCCACAATTTTTATGTCTGAGGTTTTTTTTTTAATTTATTTTTTTTATAAGGATGAATAAAATAGCATAAATAAGAATGGTTTTATTTCTACTTTATAAGTATTTGTTTGAAAAAAATAATGAAACGTGACAGTAAATGAAAAGTGATAATGATGATAAAAAAATAAATATAGTTTTATTTAATGCTTAGCAATTATTTCTACTACTATAACTACTACCACCATTTGAAGCGGTGATAAAAATAAATTTTGAAAAAAATAATACTATTATTATATTATTCTATCATCATTCTTTCCTCGTTACTATTATCATTTTTATTATACTATCATTATTGCTACTCTTCCATTGCCACCTCCTATGATGGTGGTATAAGTTTTTTAAGAATGTATTGTTGCTATTATTATCCTACGATTATTATCACCACCTCCTCTTCCTTCTCCACCACTACCATAATTACTTGTATCATTTTTAATACTTACATATCGATGAAATTATTATTTTATTATTATTTATATTTACCTTTAAAATCAGATATTAAACACTTTAATTTTTATTCTATTGTTTCACCACTATTTCAAATACGGTATACAAATATAAATACAATTTTGATTATCTAATTTTTATTTCGAGTAACTAAATGACATCTTAAAGGGGAAAAAATGTAAAATTGGTATGTGAAATGTGTGTTTGGCACCACAAACATTTTCATATATTCCAATTCATTTGTTTATTACATTATTAAACACATTTTTTTTTGGATAATTACACTATAAGTATATTAATTTTCAATCCTTTCTCAATCAAGTATATAAACTTTATTTTTTTTATTTGAGTCCATTAAATTTTTTAAAATTATTAATCAAGTATTTCGTCAATTTTTTTTATTAACTAATCATGTGTCCATTATCCTCAAAATATCGAATAATAAATCTACTCTTTTTCTTAATAGAGTACATGAACTTTAATTTTTTCAAATTGAGTGCATCAACTTTATCAAAATTGCCAATGAAGTACTTTTATTAATTGATGACGTGTTCAAATACCAAATTATATTTTTTCCTCTTTTGTTGTAAAAAATTTTCTCCTTAAATTATTCTATCATTTTAACATTTGACAGAGAATTTAAAAATTAATTTAGTTATAAAATGTCGAACTAAACTTATTTAGGTTTGGTATTAAAAAAAAAAAAAGGTTTTGGACATAAAAAGTTAAAAGAAACACAAAAGTGAGATTTTATCAAAAAGATTTATTTGTGTTTTTCTTCGATTTTTACTCTTAAATCTAACTAAGTTTTTTTCATATACTTTATTAATAATAATTTAACTGAATTTAGTGTGAAAGGGGTGGAGCTCAATATTTACTACTTAATTTTCAGTAATATCAATTGGTTTTTGTTTTTTTCCCCCTCATCCTAAGAAATCAAGAACTCAACTACTTCGATATTTCAAACACACGCAGTGTGAAAAGGTGGAGCTCGATACTTGCTACCCATGAATAACATTGAAAATATGAAAATGCATGGATGGTGGTGATGATTCTGTACTAGTATTCAGTCTTTCTCTGTCGTGTTTTACCTTCAAATAAAATAAAACCAAAACACATGAACGAGAGAATCTGAAATTTTTTAAACGACGGCACCGTCTTTCATCTTGGATTTTATTAGCACACACTGGACCCCTACTCTTTGTGACCTCAGCCCAAACCTGCCGTCCACAATTTTCTTTTCTTTTATTCCCCATCTTGATAAGTGACTCAGGATGCATGATAAAGACCAGTGCCACTTATCTAATCAATAATTTCATAATGGTTATGCCAGCAAATTAATATAAGTCAATCAGATTCGGTTGACTCACTAATATGTATAAGTTAAATGCGAGAACAGACATGCTTCGTGCTTTCCTGCACAAAATTCATATGGTCAATATATATTTTTTTTTCCGCAGAAGTTCAATAATTGATATAATCACTGGAGGATTAAAAGTGGAGGAAACAAAGACGTGAAACTAAATGCAGGTTTTGTCCCGTTAATTTAACCCACAAACTCGTCCTCCTCGCTTCCTTTTCTGTTTTTTCATCGTAAAATCCATCAGATGGGTTACACCAGGAACTTGCTGCCTCTCATCCGTGAATCATTTAGGTCATCCAGCCACACATATTTGCTAACAGCAAATAACCAAAATTCGCTAGCTTAGATGATGGTTTCTATCTAATCACCCCGAGGTGTACGATTTGAAGTTCTGGATCCTCACAGATTCATCCTAAAAAAATCCACAATTTTTCCTCTTTCGAATGTTCATAAATCTAAATTTCGAAAGCAAAGTTTTCACAAATCGTGAACTTTTGACATTAGAATAATGTCTATATCTGTAATTATTGAAAAATCAAGAGTTATGATCCATAAATGTCCGTAGATTTCTATGGATTTCCGCAAAATAGGACGAAGGTAAAAAGCAGAAGGCAGTAGAATCCGTTCTCTCCACAGGCACGCACTAGACCCACAAAATGACCCTAATAAATATTATTTGGCCACACATGTATAAGAGGCAAAAACAGAAAATGAAATACAGAAAATTGAAATGAACAGTCAATTTCTGTATCACTTTGATGATAAATTCCGGGAAAAAAAGAATGAAATACACAAACCCGGTAGTGGTTTACCCACTTTGATCTTTTACACATACATGACGAGTAATTATTACTTAACCACTCGTATTAGGTTACAAGAGTATTATTGATAGCAATTGATAATTAACCACAGTGACAATTAAAGGCAATTCACCGTTGGTTACCGGAGACAGTCTGTCCCGGTTGATAAATCAAGCTCTGAAGTTGCGGTCTCAGTTTATTTTTCCAAGTTTCCTGTCCTTGTCCCGAATTAACTTCTTTTTCCTTCACTTCAATCATAACCAGATGATCCGTTAACCAGTTAATCTCAATAATCATGGAAAAATTACCATTCCGCCCTTCCAATTTAGCCCCCCACTTTTTCCTCTTTGCAACTTCTAAACCTTCTTTTCTAGCAACCTCCTCTACTCGCTCCATCACCTTCTCCGGCTTCTCGGCCGATAAAAACCTCTCGCTCGATACCAAAGTATCGGACTCGTTGAACAAACCGGACAAATCGAAACCGGAAGAGAATGAAATTAAATCAAATGCATTTAAAGATTTCTCGTCCTCCAAATTCTCACCTTCTTCCCCCTCGTCCTCGTTCTCGTACTTTTTATCAAAATCGAATTCCTCCAAATAAAGTTTTTTCTCCTCTTTAAAACCCTTTTTAAACCATGGATCCTTAATAATCTCATCGACGGTGATCCTTGTTTCGGGATTCGTGTCCAAAAACCGAGACAAAAACCTCTTTAGATCGGGAGACATCCATTTCGGGCACCGATATTCTCCTTTATAAATCTTACGGTACATTGCCATCAAATTCGTATCATTAAATGGCAAATAACCGGCAATTAGAACAAACAAAATGACACCACATGACCAAATATCCACCTTTGCTCCATCGTAACCTTTCTTAGCCAAAATTTCAGGTGCCACGTATGCCGGAGTGCCGCATAAGGTATGCAACAGCCCATCGGGTCGGATCTGTTCCTTAAGTGCACTGAGTCCGAAATCCGTAACTTTCAGGTCCCAATTCTCGTCGAGCAGGAGATTCTCTGGTTTCAAGTCACGGTGGAACACACCCCTAGCGTGACAGTAGCCGACGGCTGCGATCAACTGTTGAAAATACCGACGGCTGAGATCTTCACTGAACCTTCCTTTCGATATCTTGGCAAATAATTCACCTCCTTTTGCATACTCCATCACGAAATAAATCTTCGTCTTTGTGGCCATAACTTCATGAAGCTTAACTATATGCGCATGTCGCAACCGGCGCATGATAGAGATTTCCCTCTTAATGTGCGCCGTGAAGCCCCCTTTCATCACCTTCGCCTTGCTGACTACTTTAATGGCTACGCTTTGACCCGTACTCACATTTCTCGCGTGGTACACCTTCGCAAAAGCGCCGTAGCCCAGAAGCTTCCCGAGCTCGTACTTGCCAAACAGATTGGCCTCCGCAGCTATCGGCGGCGATTTCTCTCCGACGTCCGCCATGATTTGAAGAAAAAACCAGTTGCTACAAAGACAAAATAAGGTTTAGGTGTTCGGTTGGCATTGAAAATAGGATCGTAGAAGGAAAGACAGAAGTGGGTGTCTTGTAACGGGAAGGCATGGGGTGTTAGGCAGGTTATGGAGAACCGTGCAAATTGTAAAGTTTGAATTTTTCAAGGTTTTAAAGGAAAATCTGTAAGGACTACTACAGAGAGAAAGAATGAGAGATGGAAATAGTAAGAGACTAATTGTGGGATAAAATTGAAGACTTGGATACAGAAAAAGGGGGAGTTCCAGCGCCAGATTTAGTTTCCAAATGAGATGATATTAGCATTTGGACATTGTTGTCTCTCTTACTCCATTTATACGAAGGGAGTGTTTCTTCCAATTACAGGAGGTGGGGGGCAATATGGACCTTTTGAACTTCATATAAAGGACAATTTCTAAATAAAGATTTGATGTTAATTGAATTTTGGTCCTACTCCTATTTGATAAAAGGAATTCAGGTTTTTCTCATTTAGTTATTACATTCAAAACATTTGAATGTATGACCTTAACTCTTTCTTTTAACTATCATCTAGTCGTTTTATCTCATGTTTGGTTGTTAAATTTCGTGCTTCGATTCGAATTAGTGATTAACAAGTGATTAGTAATAAGGATGGGTCAATTAGACAACTATCTTGTAACGATGGAAGTAAAATAATTAGCTAGTTAATCATAAATTTGAAAAGAATAACAAGTTACTCTCTTTTTTTCTAAAAAATAATAATTATTAGTTTTTATTTATTTATATGTGTTTCAAAATATTTATTTGATGAAAATTTTAAATAGTATATTTTTAAAAAAATATTTTTAATTAAAATTTATTTTTTATGACTAAATATTTTCTGAAAATATAAACAAAAGAGTTTGATTATTTGGTACCATCATATTATTCAACTCACTTTAAATAATCTTATTTATTTAATGAAATTATCCTAGTTATAATCTTGTACAAGAGGATTCGAATTTTTATCCTAAGAAAACTGAAAAGTAAAAACATCACCGAGACTACTAAAACTGTTAGTGTTATTAAAAGTTGTGGCATGAATTATTTCGTGAAAAAAAGATAATATAATTTTCATTAATTTTCACACGTTATCTACCAATAGGTGTCAATTTCTTAATTCAAGAATTTGAAAATATTTTAAAGAAAGTGGACCTAAAACGAGTTTGTGTCAACCCACGTGTCCAGCTTCTAGGTGGGACTGAAAGGAGCGTTCCTCCGCTTTTTGAAGCGACGACGAAGCGTGAATTCTACCGGCAGCCAGGAGGTACGGCAACAACATACAATTCCACGAAAATAAAAGTCAGGAATCCATAAGAATCCGTACACTTGCTACCGATTTCAATAATTGAGTTTCACGCGATTCATTCACGTGATACTTGCCTGTCAATAATTTCGACAATCTCATAGAAAATAAGATAGGAGTTAATTAGTGAGTCTTAATAATGTTTTTCTTAAAAGAAAAAACTAATAATTTTTCTTTAAAAAAAGTTTTAGAAAGAGTTGATTTAAAGTTTTAATGAGGAAAACCCAATAAAGCAAGAGATCATTGCTAATCTTATCATTGGATATTGATAAATTTTCATTATTTAAAATTGATCATCCGTCAATTAATTTTCATGAATATGAATTAATTTCAAATAAAAAGTTTCAAGCTTTTTATTTTTTCAAAAAAAAAAAAATCTAAACTTTACAATTATCATGAAAATGTAAAAAGTTAAATTTAAACCTTAATTTTTTATTTTTTTAGAAGAGAAATATTTTTAATACTAAGTCGCTTCTTGTAATTACAAAAAAAGTTATCTAATTTTAACCTCAAAGAAATATATATATAAAAGAAAACAACAGGATCAAATGCGCAATTTAGTCAGTTATCCAACTTATATATATATATATATATATATATATATATATATATATATATATATCGATCGAGAGAGATCACAATCACAACTGAGCTAACTCTTCTGTCTGTCTGGATTTTTACCAAGCAATTGAAAAGAAAAAAAAAGATTGTGGTTGAAAGAAAGAATAAAGATAAACATGAATAGTCTCTGAAAAGTTTTGGTCTATAAGACAATACGACAGGTGGATGGGTAAAGGGTTGAGTAAATTACAAATTAGTCTTTATTTTTTTGAAAAATAAATTAATTAGTTTTTAAATTTTAAAATCTAATTATTTAATTTTTTAATTGATATTAATCATGATTAATTTAATATTTTTTATTTTATAAAATATATCATCTTCTCATAAATCTTTTTATAATTTTTATTTTTTTCTATTTCTTAAAAAAATTAAAATAAATTAAAAAAATAATAAAAATTAAATGATTTAAGTTTTAAAATTAAAAAAAAAACTAATTTAATTCGTTTTTGAAAGGAAAGGAGCTAATTTATAATTTACTCACAAAATATTTGATGCGGCCCTAAAAATGTTTTTTTTAAAAAAGGTCCGTCAATCTGATACGGACATGACGTGATATGTCCCTGTGATTATCATCTCTTTGTTGGTCATGCACCGCAAATTTGGGATTTCCAGCAGCATGACTGTCCTGTTAGGGTAAACTGATTGAGGGGTGTTCTAGGACACGTGATGTGCATTTGTGGATTTATAATAGGATAAATTATAGTTACTTCATCCGGATAGCGTAAAACTACCCTGACCATTGAAGATTTAATGGAAATTCACTTCACTTTTAAGGTTCGTTTATTTGATAGAAATCAACTTTAAATAAGAAAATTAATTTTTAGGAAGTTATTTTTTAAATAAATATTTTTTGATGTTTGGTAATTACATAAAGAAATTATTGAAAAATATATTTCAACGATTTGTTTGATACGTAAAACTGAAATACAAAAACAAGCTATGATTGTTGCATGAACGAGTTTTTAAGAAACTTCAACAAGGTATATTCACAATTTCACGATATAAAATGTATTTAGAAAAATTTAATAAGTTTTTATAAATACCGACTCTAAGATTTAAATTCAAAAAATAAAATATACATTTTTAACCATCAAACCAATTCATCAAAACTATTTATGACAAAATCAAGTCAATATTCATATTTATTAAAAAAAAAAAATAATCCTAGCATTTTTATTTTGGTAACTCAATTAAGATTTTTTTTATTTTTTTTAAAATTGAACTAATAATTTAGTCTAAAAATAATTTTACAAATTATTAGTTATCATTTATAGATAATTATTCATTTGGTTTCAAAAGATTAATGTTGAAATAATTTATACCTAATTATTGACTATAATTACCAACAAAATTTTACAACCGATTAAAATTAGTCATAAATTATTAATTTAGTTGCAAATGAATAGTGTTGGGAAAATAACATATTCATTAATGAATTAATTAGTTTCAAATTTTTCATAAATGATTGCGGTGTTGTAATAATCATTTCCAATCATTTAAGTATAGTTTAGGTGATGTTTGGAATAATGGTAAAAAAAAAATAGAGATAAAGTATTGAAATATTTATTATAAAAATAATTTTAAGGTGTAAAAATGATTTTTAAGAATATTTAATATATTTATAAATTGAAAAATCAAATGTTAGTAGAAATTGAGAAAAATAATTAAACAATTAATAATAATCGATAAGAAATAATTAAAATTTAATTTGATATATTTTAAATAAAAAGGAGACGAAGAAAAAATTGTTAAAATATATCGAGAGAAAGTCTGAGTAACGAGAGAGCGAGACAACTCATGAGAGAGAGAGAGAAAATGTTTCTCTTTTTTAACTCTAAAAACAATTTTTCAAAAATACTCTATCATTTTCATTGATGAAAAATTATTTTTCATTGACTTTTTTTTTTAAATATGAAACAAACATCAAAAAATGAAAAAAAAAATGTTACTGAAGCTTATTTTCCTCTAAATAAACATAGCCTAAGAAAAAGAAAATGGTTGGGTTGTTACTTAAAAGAGTTTATATGTATAAATTTGGATGATTGGCCAATGATGATTAGGTACAAATCAATTTATACATAAATTTATAAAAAGAGTATAAAATCCTAACGTACAAAGTTACATGGCATAAAACAACTATATACCATAAATGAAATATGCATAAGAAAATCTAATTATATATACACTTTAATGTTGCCCGCTGCTGAATATGGAGATGAAATGTCATATTTGTCTTGAAGATGAGCAAAGCGTACAGTAGAGAGACATCTTAACGAATAATGGTAAAATACTAAAGAACAACCACAAGATTTTGGTACGAAAACTGTTAGCATTATCATCACCTTATTTTTGCCCTATAAAAAAATATTAAATCAATATTTTTGTATGTAAAATCTTTTTAAAATCAACATCTTAATTTAACATAAGAAAATTTTCAAAATATTACTTTTTTTGTACATATATATATATAAAGGGAGGTTCACTACAAGAAAATCGAAAAATACCGATGGATTTATCCGTCACTATATAGTAAAAATCTATCGCTATTTGTCTTTAGCAACAAATTTGTGATAACACACTTTCCGTAGCAAAGCCATCGTCGTTATTTTCTTAGTGATAAAAAATTTAATTCATCATTGATTAGCGATGGCTAGTTCGTCACTAATTTATAAAAATTCTGTCACCAAATGATAGTAAATAGCCACTTTTCTAGTTTCGTATTTGTTGCAAAATCATCGTTAATTCGTTATTTCTATTGCTAATTGTTCTCGTTACATTTCTTGCGGATTCGTCGCTATTTAGCGATCGTATTAGTATTAGTCGTCATTTTTATCACTAATTCGGTCGTTAAATGAAATAATTTTTAATTTTTAATGTAAAAAAAAATAATAGCGGTTTAATGTTAATGATAGTAACAAATAACTAAAAATAACACTTTATTAAAACATGATATATTATTTAATAAAATTAAAATATTATAAATTAAAATCAAATAAATATTTAAATTTGTTAAGATGTACGGAAATATTA